TTAATGTTATTATTAAATTACCAGCTTATTGACAGAAAGTGTCAATTTATTAATATGATAAATAACAATTTATTTGTTATGACATTCGCCTACTTTATTTTTACAAATTTTCGCAATTACCTCTTTAGTGACGCACCAAATTTTTTTACTAGAAAACTATCGGTTTTATCGGAAAATTACAAGAGGTAAAAAAGTTGCGCAATAAATCAGTCTTCCCAATAAATATTTTTAAATAAATAATTTGCTTCATATAAAAGATTTCTAATAAAATATTGCAATGGGGTTGATTGTTTCACTCCTTTATAAAATACGCCAATGATCGAACAAATATTGAAAAGTTGTCTCTTTATTAGTAGGATGCTGATGCCAAGTTTCGTGTCTCTAGCATTGCTCATCATGTTAAAGAAAAAAATTAAAATGTCAATTTCAATCCCCTTCTTTAAGAGGGTATATCGCCTCAGGGGTGCAACTTTCATATAAGGTATTTTTAACACCCTGTATATTAAGGTGTACACTATTTTTGTATAATTTGTTATTTCAAGAAACATCGAGTAAAGTACGTGTTGCAGCATACTGCATATTATTCTATTTTTTTAATGAACAATTTTGTCGTTTATAACAGTAACTTAACAAAGTTAATAGAAAAATGTTGAATGAAAAAAATAAAATAAACAATGTACCTGAACGTAAGTATTCCTTACTTTTTTGAAAAGTATATAAGTTCATTATAAGCGCACGGTTTCAATCACTCAATGTGCATTTCAACGCCAATGCAGCCAACTTAAATTTCTAGTCAAACTTACTTTTGTGTGAGATACCATGTTTTTACTTAAAGATCTAAGCTAGCATGTTTTCCAAGTACAATTTTAGATAGCATGTTTTCCAAGCTAAATTTGATATAGCATGTTTTTTTTACAACGAATGAGAAGGTGGAGATTGCGAAAATTCATTTAATGAACAATGCTCAGAGCAAATTGTTTGACCCAGTGATTCTTTTATTATACCCATTATTTTCGTATAATGTTGCAACTGTTAACATTTGTTATGGAATTTTCCAAACGCTCCATGTAGTAATACATCTACGAAGAAAAAAATGTCTGTTATTGATAGTTAACAAACATTGTTATCGTGAATCAAATTTTTGATATTTATTTTAAGATAAAAAGCAATGAATCATCAATAAAATGTTCTGGATTATGTAAACATAGTTTTCATGGAAGATGTGTGGATATAAAACCTTCACACTGTAAGTTAATAGAAGAATATAATAACCTAAAATGGTTTTGTAAAAATTGCATGTCTTTTGTTGAATTTATGAACAAATTTTATTCGGAACTTGACGATTTCAGAAACGAAATAAAAGAAGAAATAAGTTTGTTACATGAAGCTATTAGAAACAAACATATTGAGGCAACAAGTGAGGATGCTATTAAAACTTATGCTGCTGCAACAAAAGAAGTTGTTGTAATTAAACCAAAATCAAAACGGGAAAGTGTTATAACTAAAGAATATGTTAAGGAATGCCTAAATCCTGCAGAATTAAAAGTGGGAATATCGGAAATTAAAAACATTCAAGAGGGTGGTATAGTTATAAAATGTAATACGAAGTTAGAAGCTGAAAAAATAAAAAATGCTGCTAATGAGAAATTAAGTGGAGACTACAACATTAATACTCCTAAGCTAAAGAATCCTTGTCTAAAAATTCTGGATATCGACACAGAACTGAGCGGTGATGAATTAATTAAGAATATGAAAAATCAGAATGATTATTTGAACGATGAGAGTATTATTTTGAAGGTAGTTACTGTGAAAAAAATGAAAAAAAATTTTATGGCAATTGTTGAGTGTGACCCAAAAACCTATTGTAAAATATTAGAAGAGAGAAAAGTGTACATGAATTGGTCTAGCTGTCGTGTTTTTGATTATGTAAACATATACAGGTGCTACCGCTGTGGAGAATTTAACCATAGTGCCAACAAATGTAGTGAGAAAACGGAGCGATGTCTAAAATGTGCCAGG